GGGGGGGGGGGGGGGGGGGGGGACCGCAGGGCAGGAAGCAGCCATGGGGCAATGTCTCTCAGGAAACCAGGCTGGGAGGGGAGCACACCTCCTGATGCAAAAGAAGCTGAACATCATTACTGTTTAAACAGCAAGAACAAGAATGCCCTCTGGGGTGATTTCTTGGGGCCAAGGTGAAGAAGCTGCTGAATTCTCTACAGAGCTCTTTCAACAGACCTCACTTATAAGCCAGGAGGCATGCCCAGACTGCTCCATCTCTTTCCTGGCACTAAGTTCTCCTCCTCCAGTCCACGCTAAAGGGTCTGGCGGCAGTGTCTGCCCCAGGCTGGCTGCTTTCCATCTGTGATGGCCCTAGCAGCTACAGGTGACTTAGACTCAACTCTTAAATTTGATGGGAATCCTCAAACCTCCATGCTTCTCCATTTGGGGGATGAAAATGGCAATTGGGTTTTTTTTTTCCTGTGTGACTAAAGATATATGTAATCAGATTTTAGCCTGCTTTCCATTAAAGGTAATTTGAAATGGTTTCAAGTTTTAAAGAATGTTAAATTGGTATCCTATAATCTACAAAAGAGCCAGTATGGTGTCATGGTGAAGGTGCTGGCCTAGAAACCAGGGGACTGTGAGTTGTAGGCCTCCCTTAGACATGAAAGCTGGCTGGGTGACTTTGGGTCAGTCGCTCTCTCTCAGCTAAATTTGCAGAAACAATAGCATCATATGAGAAGGTGATGTATTCTGAATTGAAGACGAAACCTCTTTTTTCTTTCAAACAGAAGTGTTAATATTTTTTTAAAAATGGGCAGAATTGGAAATAATTGTCAGGCATAGTTGGCTTTTCTGAAGAGATAAATTCTGCCAAGTTTCATGTGATTAAATTCAGTGGTTTTTTATTGTCATTCAATACAAACTGAATGAAATATTGTTCTGGATAATGAAATTTTTGGCCAGGTCATCAGCCATAGTGAAATGGAAGAAAAAAAAAAGTAGTTTTGTTTTAGAAAATTTTAAAAATGTAGGTTTAATGGCATGCCTTAATATTCTTAATTTTTTACTTACTAGAGATTTTTGCAATGCAAATCCCCCCCCCCTTGTGTTTATGAACTGGTTCTCATGCGAATTTGTCACCTTTGGTTTAAAAAGAGAATCTGGGTGCATCACAGCAGTTGGACATGGGTTACTTTCTCAGTTAAAGAAAAGAAGAAAAAAAATTTGCAGAGAAAATACTACTTCCCAGATTTTTTTTCCCCCCTGAACGGTTCAGGAATGAATTGGAAGGGCTATCTCCAGAGTGAGGAGGAGCCATTTGTGCCTAATCTCAGCCATGAAAATCAGACTGGGTGCTCTATACCGCCTAATTTTTCCCCACAATTCCTACTGCTGTTTTTACTTCACTTCCAATGGATTAGTTCAATGGATCTCTGACTCGTGCCTCACAGTGCATGATGTATACCTGGAATACATGGATGCACTCACAAAATAATCTTCATACTTCACAAAGGTGCACAAGCTGAACCGTAAAATCATACGTAGATATGAAAACAGGGTGATCCCTTATCAGACAATTTGGATGGCAAAGATTCCAGTTCAGTACGGTCTTTGCAACTGTATAGGTCTTTGCAATATGTCGCCATACAAAATTTACTAGCTGATTGTTAGTCGGTCCTTTAAAACATCTGTTTTACAAAATGAATTTAGGTTGCTTAAAACTATAGAATATCAATAGATTTAAGACCTCTCTTAATTTTAAAATCTGGGCCCAAAGTATTTGTCATTCAGAAACTCCTAAACTATTAACATCATTGGAAAAACATTTTGTAGCTTCCAAGCTTATAGCCAAAACTACTACTAAGATAGTACATGGAAAACGTGCAAAGAATTTGGAGCAAAGAATTAGAATCTCCTGTTTTAATAAACCAATAGGCTAGAGTTTTAAAGAATGTTAAATTGGTATCCTATAATCTACAAAAGAGCCAGTATGGTGTCATGGTGAAGGTGCTGGCCTAGAAACCAGAGGACTGTGAGTTGTAGGCCTCCCTTAGACATGAAAGCTGGCTGGGTGACTTTGGGTCAGTCGCTCTCTCTCAGCCCAGCCCACCTCACAGGGTGGTTGTTGTGGGGAAAACAGGAGGCAGGTACTGTATATTAGGTATGTTTGCTGCCTTGAGTTATATGCAAAAAAGATGGGATACAAATCTAATAATAATGATAATCTTAAAATGTCATTAGTGTAGCAAAATATTCTCTTTTATGTTTAGTAGCCACCCCAGAGGATGGGTAGTAAGGGTTGGCTTTCTGTTTCAATATACTGGAAGTGTGATATTTTGGATTGGACACTAACTCATATTTTTTGAGCTTATTTGTTCTGGTTTAATATTCATAAGGTTGTTAAACGAGTCTTGGGAAAAGAGATAAGGGTTAAAAATGTGGGTGTGGTGATAAATTATATTCCAAAATTTTGGAATTATAGAGTTATGAAACACTTCAGATTTACCTTCCAAGGCCTGCAGCTAAAACATGGAAAGAGTCTTATTACATCTGATTTTAAACCATTG